GAGCGCCGCAGACAAAAGAAGCGGGGGCCGGGGCGGGGCCGGGGGTTCGCGCCCCCCGCTCCCTCCCACCGCCCCAGCCGTGCTCGACCCCTCGGTCGCCTGTGCGGGGCCCTGCCTGTCCGCCCGGCCCTGCTCGGGGTCCCCGGCCGGGGGGCGCGGGGGGTCCTCGGGATGAATCCACTTGGTGCGCACTTAGGCAGTGCTTGCTGTTTGCAACGTACACAGCCTCGTGGGGTAGGCGCCGGCGGACCCCACTTTACGGGTGGGGAAACTGAGGCTAGCGGAGCTTAAGTCACTGTTCCAGGTCGCCAGGCCCCGAACGGCAGGATTTGATTCGGTTCATTAATTCACCATCTCCTGAGCACCTACTGTCCACTCGGCCCTGAACAGTCACCGGGGACCCAGTGGGAACTGGGACAGACCCAGAAATCCATCCCACCGTTAAGGGTCTCGTTAGAGTTGGGAGTAAGGGCAGCATGAATCGGACACCTAGTGTTTTCAGCTCTGTCCTGGCTTGTGCCCTTCCTGTGTCTTTGTTTTTTTTGTTTTAATTCTCTTTTCTTTTTTCCGTGTCTTTGTTTCTGATAGTCACTTACAATTTTTTTTAAAATCGACTCATGTTTCTTTCTTTCTTTCCTTTTTTTAAAGATGACCGGTAAGGGGATCTTAACCCTTGACTTGGTGTTGTCAGCACCACGCTCAGCCAGTGAGCGAACCGGCCATCCCTATATGGGATCCGAACCCGTGGCCTCGGTGTCACCAGCACCGCACTCTCCCGAGTGAGCCACGGGCCGGCCCCTGCTCATGTTCCCAGAGACCGAACTCCATGAGTTTCACAAGGAGATTTTCTGGGTGGTGAAAAGTGAGCTCCGGAGGGTTGGAATCCAGCTTGGGGACTCAGTTTCCTCACCTGTAAATGGACAAAACAAGGTTGGGGAGGCCGTGTGAGCCCACACCGTGGGTTCCATTCAGGTGCGGGGCTGGTCCTCCCCCATACCCCAGGGTAGGGACACGGGGACTCAGAGGGGGCGGCCCCTCACCCCCGCCTCACAGTACATGTAACACAGCAGGGCTGTCTGGCCTCCCCCCACCTGGCTGTGGACCAGGCCTTGGTTTCCCCAGCCAGCGAGGGGTGGAGCCTGGGTGGCTGTTGGGAATCTGGTGTTGAAATGTGACCACAAACAGCCCCTGGAGGCAGGAGGAAGAAATAGAGCAATCGCTCCTCGAGTGCCTCCTGGGGGGCAGGAGGAAGGGGGGGTCTTGAAGAATCTTCCTCACAGCTCCGGGGTCCAGGAGAGGGTCTAGGGGAAGCTCGGGATCAGGGCTCCCCAGAGGTGGAGAGGAGGTGGGCCCAGTATGGTGGGCACACTGCTCCGCCGAGGGGCCTGGGCTGAGTCTGGGGCACTAGGGAGCCCCCAGAGAGTTCAGAGCAGGGCAGAGCACTTGAGCGTGCCAGGTGCCACTCAAAAACCTCTAATAAAATAAAGTTAAGTTAAATAACTCTAATAAAAAATATTAACCTGGGCCGGCCCGTGGCTCACTCGGTAGAGTGCGGTGCTGATAACACCAAGGCCGTGGGTTCGGATCCCATATAGGGATGGCCGGTTTGCTCACTGGCTGAGTGTGGTGCTGACAACACCAAGCCAAGGGTTGAGATCCCCTTACCGGTCATCTTTTAAAAAATATATATATATATATTAACCTACTCGATGCCCAGCACAGCCTATGAGGCAGGGCCTGGTCATGACCCCACTGCACAGATGGGGAAACTGAGGCACTACTTTCTGTCTCTGTGGATTGGCCTGTTCCGGACATTTCACATAAATGGAATCACACATTATGTGGCCTTTTGTGTCTGGCATCTGTCACTGAGCATGACATGTTCAAGGTCATCCGTGTGGTCGCGTGTGTCAGAGCCTCGTTCCTGTTCATGGCTGCGTCATGTTCCACCATGTGCATGGACCGCGCTGTGTGCGTCCGTTCACCTGTGGATGGACACTTGGGCTGTCCCTCCTTTAGGCTGCTGGGCGTTGTGCTGCTGTGAACATTTGGGTACAAGCATTTGAGTCCCTGCTTTCCATTCTCTTAGACACCTCGGGGCAGAATTGCTGAGGGGTATAACTCTGCGTTTACCTGTTTGAGGAACTGCTGGGCTTTTTCCCAAGTGGCTGTACCTTTTTCCATTCCGGCCACTAACGTGTAAGGTTCTAATTTCCCCATATTCCGACCAACACTTTTCATTCCCGTCCCTTTCATCGCAGCCCTCCCCGCGGGTGTGCGGTGGCGTCTAGCTCACTGTGGCCGCGACTTGCATTCCCATCATGACGACTGATTTTGTGCTGCTTTTCATGGGCTTATTGGCCGTTTGTGTGTTTTCTGTGACAAAGTGTCTACTCAGGTCCTTTGCCTGGTTTTTAACTGGGATCATCGCCTCTTTGCTTTTGAATTACGAGCCCTTATATACGAGTATTCTGGACACCCAGTGTTGTTTTTCTTGTCCCCATACCTTGCTCAGGTTTTGGGTGCCTGAAACCTCCGAAGACCCAGCTTCAAAGACAGAGATGGGGAGAAGAAAAACCCAGCTCTGGGAGCTGCACGGTCACCCTCCCCCGTGTCACAGATGCAGAAACTGAGGACGGACGAGTGACCTGCCCAGGTTCCCACAGAGAAAAAGTCCTGTAGGACGCTCAGTGACAGAGGCCAGACACGAAAGGCTGCGTAGCATGTGGCCCCGTGTACATGAAACGTGCAGAACGAGCCAACCCACGAGGGACGCAAAGTGGGTTCGCGGCTGCGGGGGCTGGGGCGGGGGAGCGCGGGTGACCGCCACAGTGCAAGGGGTTTCTTTGGAGAGTGATGAAAATATCCTAAAACATGAACCTCAGAGACAAAACCCTGAAACAGACTGGTGACAGTTGTTTGTTTTTTTTTTTTTTTAAAGATGAC